ACTGTATATATCTAAACACCCATTATTCTCTTTTCTTCATTTAATTGCACATTTACTCTATTCTGTAACATATACAGACCATAAGCTAATTATAAGGACAGGAACATTGATCAATAGAGTCATTATATATGCGTCCCATTAGTCATTGTTTGGAGACATAAACATTCAAAATAAAAACATACATTTGTGGAAAATCAGCTGCTTTGTTTTAATCTTTATTGTTATAATTTTATACAACCGCAAAAAAAATTTGCGGTCCTATATTGGTATGACGTTGGCGTAGTCGTCGTCCGAAGACACATTGGTTTTCGCACAATAACTTTAGTTTAAGTGATTAGATCTCTATGAAATTTTACCATAAGGTTCAATACCACAAAAGGAAGGTTGGGATCGATTTTGGGGGTTATGGTACCAACAGTTAAGGAATTAGGAGCCAAAAAGGGGCCAAAAATAAGCATTTTTTTAACTTCAAGACAATAACTTGTGTGTTAGTGTATGGATCTCTCTGACATTGTACCACAAGGTTCCATATCACAAAGGGAATGCTGGGATTGATTTTGGTAATTGCGTCAAAATTTTAGGAATAAGGGGCAAAAAAAGGGGCAAAAAACAAGCATTTTTCTAGTTTCATGACAATAACTTGTGTGTAAGTGTATAGATCTTTCTGAAATTGTACTACAACGTTCCATATCACAAAGGGAAAGCTGGAATTGAGTTTGGGGTAATTGCCCAAAACGTTTAGGAATAAGGGGCCAAAAATAAGCATTTTTCTAGTTTCCAGACAATAACTTGTGTTCAAGTGTATGGATCTCTCTCAAATATTACTGCAAGGTATCATACCACAAAGGGAAGGCTGGGATTGATTTTGAGGGTAATTGCCTCAAAATTTTAGGAATAAGGGGCAAAAAAGGGGCAAAAAACAAGCATTTTTCTAGTTTCAGGACTATAACTTGTGTGTAAGTGTATGGATCTTTATGAAACTGTACTACAAGGTTCCATCACAAAGGGAAAGCTGGGTTTGAGTTTGGGGATAATTGCCCAAAACGTTTTGGAATTCGGGGCCAAAAAGGGGCCTACATTAAGGTCCAAAGGATCCAAAATTAAACTTAGTTTGATTTTAACAAAAATTGAATTCTTGGGGTTCTTATATATGCTGAATCTAAACATGTGTTTAGATTTTTGATTATGGACCCAATTTTCAAGTTGGTCCAAATTTGGGTCCAAATTAAACTTTGTTTGATTTCAACAAAAATCGAATATATGAGGTTCTTTGATATACTGAATCTAACCATGTATTTAGATTATTGATTTTTGGGCCCCGTTATCAAATTGGTCCACATTGAGGTCAAAAGGGTCCAAAATTAAACTTTGTTCAGGGGTTCAAATTAGCAGTGGTCCGAGGTCCGTGACCTTCCACTGTTGCAATCGGACTTTCGTTTTGGTTACTAGCTACGCCCGACGGACCTTCGATCTTAAAGGAAATAAAAATGATTTTTGCTGACCTTTTTAACCATCTGTATCGTCATTTTTAAGCCATACTTATATTATTATTGAAATTGAGATAAAAAAAATGTTTCATCCCTGACCTTGCAGACGAGTGATAAAAGTTATTTTTAACCTTGTATTTCTTGGAAACACAAGGTTATAAATAGTTGCGAGAAGTCACGTGACAAATCATTTAATCATTTAGACATTTTAGAACAAAATGAGTCCGTTTCACTTTGGTGTCACGTCTTCCAAGAGAAAGCCTGAAGATTATGAACGGTCTTCAACCACAGGCACTTGTTTCTATCCATGGGAAGGTCGACTATCCATAAATATGGAAGGATATTCAACCTTCCCATGGATAGAAACAAGTGCCTGTGTCTTCAACGTCTTCAAAAGAAATCAAATGAAGATCTCACTAAAAACAAAAAATGCGATCGTGAAAAACGGGAACGGAGCCCTTCAGGAAAATCGATCGACCGTGGCTATATTTTGATGAATCAACTGGTCTAATGTCATGCACATACTGCTAGAAGTTCCCCTCTCATTCAGAAAAAGAAAGTGCACTTGTAAGGGGAACACAAAATCTTAAAATAGACCCAATAAAAATATACGAAGTGACACCCCAGCATTTATCTTGTTTAAAGCAGTGGATCCATGAAAGTGACCCAAATTTTAAGTCTAATTATGACTAAAGATTAATTGTCAGACACTAAACTTGGACAATGTATTCTCAAGCAGAATGTAAGCCTGATCAGTTAAATAGATATAAGGTTCTTTTCAACACTGCATACAGTATTGCAAAAAAGGGAAACCCTTCAGTTACTATGAATTTATTCTTGAAATCCAGTGCAAAAATGGTGTTGATGTGTAAGCAGTACTTCAATATTGAAGGTTGTAAACTGTTTATTTGCTGGATAGCCAATTTAGGCATTATATGAGAAACGAAACATCACATGCAGTTCAAATATGATGAAACAAACTAACCTCACTCCAAAAGCTCATTAATTTGTATCTTATTGAGTTATGAAATTTTTCCTGTAAAAGTAGGACCTTTCAGTTTGGAGTGTCAAAGGTCCTGGACCTTCCAGTACCAAATGTTAATTTGAACCCCTGCAATAGTACTGAAAGTGGTGTTAAACATCAACAATCAATCCTTACCACGACGATATAGACAATAGTACTGAAAGTGGTGTTAAACACCAACAATCAACTCTTACCACCACGATATAGACAATAGTACTGAAAGTGGTGTTAAACACCAACAATCAATCAATCCATCCTTACCACCACGATATAGACAATAGTACTGAAAGTGGTGTTAAACATCAACAATCAATCAATCCATCCTTACCACCACGATATAGACAATAGTACTGAAAGTGGTGTTAAACACCAACAATCAATCAATCCATCCTTACCACCACGATATAGACAATAGTACTGAAAGTGGTGTTAAACACCAACAATCAATCAATCAATCTTTACCACCATGATATAGACAATAGTACTGAAAGTGGTGTTAAACACCAACAATTAATCAATCAATCCTTACCACCAAGATATAGACAATAGTACTGAAAGTGGTGTTAAACACCAACAATCAATCTATCAATCCTTACCACCTCAATATAGACAATAGTACTGAAAGTGGTGTTAAACACCAACAATTAATCAATCAATCCTTACCACCAAGATATAGACAATAGTACTGAAAGTGGTGTTAAACATCAACAATCAATTCTTACCACCACGATATAGACAATAGTACTGAAAGTGGTGTTAAACACCAACAATCAATCAACCCTTACCACCAAGATAGAGACAATAGAACTGAAAGTGGTGTTTAACATCAACAATCAATCCATCAATCCTTACCACCTTGATATAGACAATATTACTGAAAGTGGTGTTAAACACCAACAATCAATCAACCCTTACCACCAAGATATAGACAATAGTACTGAAAGTGGTGTTAAACACCAACAATCAATCAATCCTTACCACCACAATATAGACAATAGTACTGAAAGTGGTGTTAAACACCAACAATCAATCCTTACCTCCACGATATAGACAATAGTACTGAAAGTGGTGTTAAACACCAACAATCAATCAATCAATCCTTACCACCACGATATAGACAATAGTACTGAAAGTGGTGTTAAACACCAACAATCAATCAATCAATCCTTACCACCACGATATAGACAATAGTACTGAAAGTGGTGTTAAACATCAACAATCAATTCTTACCACCACGATATAGACAATAGTACTGAAAATGGTGTTAAACACCAACAATCAATCAACCCTTACCACCAAGATATAGACAATAGAACTGAAAGTGGTGTTTAACATCAACAATCAACCAATCCTTACCACCACGATATAGACAATAGTACTGAAAGTGGTGTTAAACATCAACAATCAATCAATCCTTACCACCACGATATAGACAATAGTACTGAAAGTGGTGTTAAGCACCAACAATCAATCAATCCTCACCACCACGATATAGACAATAGTTCTGAAAGTAGTGTTAAACATCAACAATCAATCAATCCTTACCACCATGATATAGACAATAGTACTGAAAGTGGTGTTAAACACCAACAATCAATCAATCCTTACCACCACGATATAGACAATAGTACTGAATTTGAAAGTGGTGTTAAACACCAACAATCAATCAATCCTTACCACCACGATATAGACAATAGTACTGGAAGTGGTGTTAAACATCAACAATCAATCAATCCTTACCACCACGATATAGACATAGTACTGAAAGTGGTGTTAAATACCAACAATCAATCAATCAATCCAATTTAGTTTTTGCCAAAATGCCAAGGTTCTCAAGCGATACACTCTTGTTTGAGGCTCTTGTCTAATTTTCATTTCTGCTTTTTATCTTTAAACTACAAAACCTGGTTGAGCAAAAATGATCAGCAAGACAGGTTTTGGCACAAATTTTCCAATAAACACAAATATTATTGTTGCATTGTATAAATTTTGAGGGGCAAAAATGCTGGGTAAGCCATATACAGGCTCCTTCGAGCCTATATAGTTTAGTTATACCCCAAATACTATCTTAGCTTAAGGGACAATTTTATTTTACGGTTGAACATATCTATACTTAATTTACCACAAATTACATACTTCAAATGGAGGTTATCCAAAAATTGACGGAGACATAATCAAGACAAATGGTAACAAGTGTAAGGTCACAGAATATTAGAATATTCTACAGTTGGAATAATTTTCGATTCAAAGGTGCATTTAAAATGCTCTTGCAAATAAACACAAAGTAAATTCAAAAACAACCTGTACACTTTTACTCTGGGCCTCACAATTTTTTGGAAAATATGAAAATTTTATCGATAAATATATTATATAATGTGTAACATTTTTATTGTATATTATTTTTGGGGGGTTTATATTTTAGAAATTTAATAGTTCTACAAGAAATATGAGTAAAGGTATATTCACAGTGCATATTCCTTATTTTTCAGTCTGTCATGTCAGAGGAATCTTCAGGTGTGACTGCTGGTCAAGGGATGGAAGGTAATTTTCATTAATAATTTTTGTAATAAATATTTGGTATTTTAAAAGTGTTTGGTGTATATGTCTGTCTGGCAGAGTTCATATCAGGATCTTTTGTGGCCAACTACATACCGTAAATTCGAAATTATTGCGTGCATTTATTATTGCGATTTTTTTGTACGACCGCAAATTTATTTGCAGTAGTATTATGTTATGGTGTTGTCTGCGTCTGCATCTGAAGACATTTTGGTTCGCAGACAATAACTTGATTATAAGTTCATGGATCTCTATGAAATTTTAGCACAACATTCCATACCACTAAAGAACGGTTGGGATTGTTTTGGGGGGCTATTGTCCTAGCTATTTAGCTCACCTGGCCCAAAGGGCCAAGTGAGCTTTTCTCATCACTTGGCGTCCGTCGTCCGTTGTCGGTGTCCGTTAACTTTTACAAAAATCTTCTCCTCTGAAACTACTAGGCCAAATTTAACCAAACTTGGCCACAATCATCATTAGGGTATCTAGTTTAAAAAATGTGTCCGATGACCCAGTCAACCAACCAAGATGGCCGACATGGCTATAAATAGAACATAGGGGTAAAATGTAGATTTTGGCTTATATCTCTGAAACCAAAGCATTTAGAGCAAATCTGACATGGGGTAAAATTGTTTATCAGGTCAAGATCTATCTGCCCTGAAATTTTCAGATGAATCTGACATCCCGTTGTTGGGTTGCTGCCCCTGAATTGGTAATTTTAAGGAAATTTTGCCGTTTTTATACGACCGCAAAAAAATTTTTGTGGTCGTATATTGGTATGACGTTGGTGTCGTCGTCGTCGTCCGGCGTCGTCGTCGTCCGAAGAAGCATTAGTTTTCGCACTCTAACTTTAGTTTAAGTGAATGAATCTCTATGAAATTTTACCATAACGTTCAATACAACAAAAGGAAGGTGGGGATTGATTTTGGGGGTTATGGTACCAACAGTTAAGGAATTAGGGGCCAAAAAGGGGCCAAAAATAAGCATTTTCTAGTTTCCAGACAATAACTGTGGAACGGTGTATGGATCTCTCTGAAATTATACTACAAGTTTCCATACCACAAAGGGATGGTTAGGATTTGCTTTGGGGGGTTATGGCTCAAACCGTTTAAGAATTAGGGGCAAAAAAGGGGGAAAAACAAGGTTGTCCTGGTTAATGGACAAATACTTTAGTACAAAACATAATTTAAAGCAGTGTAAGGGAGATAAATCAAATACATCATTGAAATTATCTCCCTTACACTGCTTTTAAATTATGTATAAAGTAATGGTTAATGAACAATTAAGATAATTTAAAACAGTGTAAGGGAGGTAATCCAAATACAACGTTTTGGTTACTTCCCTTACACTGCTTTTAAATTATGTTTAAAGAAATGCATATTTATAAAGGAAGACCAGTAAAAATATCTGCAAATGTTGCATCTTTTTTTTTTACAAAAAAATCCATATGAAAGATTTGACACTATATTTTAAATTCTATTATAAAATAGATTAAGTTAGCACTATGGTAAATTTAAATGGGTAATTATGGTTTGGGGGAAAAAAGGGGGGGGGGGGTAAAAAGAAATTGTGGGGGGTCAATTTTTTCTCATTTCAGATTTCAGAAATTAAAAAGAATTATTCTTCAAATATTATTTTTTTTTTCAAATTTCAAATATTGAAAAATTTCAAGAAGTAATCTTTAATTGCACAGTATGGCGCATTAGATTTGTAAAATCTTTGACCACATTTATTTATTTGTGATGCCGAATCTAACCGTGTATTTAGATTTTTAATTTTGGATCCAGTTTTCAAATTGGTCTACATTAAGTCCAAAGGGTCCAAAATTAAACTTTGTTTGATTTTAACAAAAATTGAATATATGGGGTTCTTTGATATGCTGGATCTAAACATGTATTTAGATTTTTGATTTTTGGCCCAGTTTTCAAGTTGGTCCAAATTGGGGTCCAAAATTAAACTTTGTTTGATTTCAACAAAAATTGAATATATGGGGTTCTTTGATATGCTGAATCTAACCATGTATTTAGATTTTTTATTTGTGGACCCCACTATCAAATTGGTTCATATTGAGGTCAAAAGGGTCCAAAATTAAACTTTGTTTGATTTCATCAAAAATTGAATTATTGGGGTTCTTTGATATGCCAAATCTAACCGTGTATTTAGATTTTAAATTTTGGGTCCCGTTTTTTAAATTGGTCTACATTAAGGTCCAAAGGGTCCAAAATTAAACTTAGTTTGATTTTAACAAAAATTGAATTTTTGGGGTTCTTTGATATGCTGAATCTAAACATGTGTTTAGATTTTTGATTATGGGCCCAGTTTTCAAGTTGGTGCAAGTTGGGGTCCAAAATTAAACTTTGTTTGATTTCAACAAAAATTGAATATATGGGGTTCTTTGGTATGCTGAATCTAAACATGTATTTAGATTTTAGATTTTTGGCCCAGTTTTCAAGTTGGTCCAAATTGGGGTCCAAAATTAAACTTTGTTTGATTTCAACAAAAATTGAATATATGGGGTTCTTTGATATGCTGATTCTTACCATGTATTTAGATTTTTTATTTGTGGGCCCGCTATCAAATTGGTTCATATTGAGGTCAAAAGGGTCCAAAATGAAACTTTGTTTGATTTCATCAAAAATTGAATTATTGGGGTTCTTTGATATGCCAAATCTAACCATGTATTTAGATTTTTAATTTTGGGTCCCGTTTTTTAAATTGGTCTACATTAAGGTCCAAAGGGTCCAAAACTAAACTTAGTTTGATTTTAACAAAAATTGAATTCTTGGGGTACTTTGATATGCTGAATCTAAACATGTGTTTAGATTTTTGATTATGGGACCAGTTTTCAAGTTTGTCCAAGTTGGGGTCCAAAATTAAACTTTGTTTGATTTCAACAAAAATTGAATATGCTGAATCTAACCATGTATTTTGATTTTGGACATTGGACCATAATAGGTAAATTAAAAAAATTGAAGTTCTTAGACCACATTCTTTCTGTGTCAGAAACCTATGCTGTGTCAAATATTTAATCACAATCCAAATTCAGAGCTGTATCAAGCTTGAATGTTGTGTCCATACTTGCCCCAGCTGTTCAGGGTTCGACCTCTGCGGTCGTATCAAGCTGCGCCCAGCGAAGCATTTTATTGGTTATTATCTTGAATATTATTATAGATAGAGATAAACTGCAAACAGCAATAATGTTCAGCAAAGTAAGATCTACAAATAAGTCAACTTGACCAAAATGGTCAGTTGACCCCTTAAGAAGTTATTGCCCTTTATAGTCAATTTTTAACCATTTTTCGTAAATTTTTGTAATCTTTTACAAAAATCTTCTCCTCTGAATCTACTGAGACAAATTTAACCAAACTTTTCCACAATCATCATTAGGGTATCTAGTTTAAAAAATGTGTCTGATGACCCCGCCCGCGAACCAAGATGGCCGACATGGCTAAAAAATAGAACATAGGGTAAAATGCAGTTTTTGGCTCATATCTCTGAAACCAAAGCATTTAGAGCAAATCTTCTGCCCTGAAATTTTCAGACCAATCAGGCAACAGGTTGTTGGGTTGCTGCCCCTGAATTAGTAATTTTAAGAAAATTTTGCAGCTTTTGGTTATTATCTTGAATATTATAATAGATAGAGATAAACTGTGAACAGCAATAATGTACAGCAAAGTAAGATCTACAAATAAGTCAAACTGACCAAAATTGTCAATTGACCCCTTAAGGAGTTATTGCCCTTTATAGTAAATTTTTTACAATTTTCATAAATTTTGTAAATTTTTGTAAAGGTTATTGTCGTAGCTGTTTAGGAATTAGGGGCCAAAAAGGGGCCAAAAACAAGCATTTTTCATGTTTCAGGACAATAATTGGTGTATAAGAATATAGATTTCTATGAAATTTTACCACAAGGTTCCATACTTCAAAGAAGTTTAGAATGAGTTTTGTCGAGCCTGCGACTTTTGTCGCAAAAAAAGTCGCAAAAGCGAGACATAGCGATCCTACATTCCGTCGTCGTCGTCGGTGGGGGCATCCACAAATATTCACTCTGTGGTTAAAGTTTTTGAAATTTTAATAACTTTCTTAAACTATCCTGGATTTCTACCAAACTTGGACAGAAGCTTGTTTATGATCATTCATAAGACAGTATCCAGAAGTAAATTTTGCAAAAAAAAAAATCCTGTTTATCCGTATTTTACTTATAAATAGACTTAGTTTTTCTGCCAGTTAACATTACATTCACTCTGTGGTTAAAGTTTTTAAAATTTTAATAACTTTCTTAATCTATCCTGGATTTCTACCAAACTTGGACAGAAGCTTGTTTATGATCATAAGACAGTATCTAGAAAGAAATTTTGTAAAAATTTATTACCTGTTTTTTCGTATACTACTGGACTTAGTTTTTCTTCCAGTTAACATTACATATAGTCTGCAGTTAAAGTTTTAAAAACATTTATAAGTTCCATAAACCATCCTGGATTCTTACCAGACTTGGACAGAAGCTTCTTACAATCAAAAGATAGTATCTAGAGGAAAATGTTTAAAAAAATTTTCCCCATTTTTGTTGAGCCTGCGACTAACGGCAAAAGTAGGCGAGACACTGGGTTCTGCGGAACCCTTACGAATTTTTGAGTGTCATGGCCCATACCGTTTAATAATTAGGGGTCGAAAAGGGGCAGAAGACAATTATTTTTCTAGGTTGCAGGCAATAACTTGAATATAAGTGTATGGATCTCTATTCAATTTTAGCACAAGGTTCCATACCACAATAGGAAGGTTGGGTTTTTTTTCGGGGGTTATTATAGTAGCTGTTTAGGAATTAGGGACCAGAAAGAGCCTAACAAAAACAATTATTTGTCTGGTTCACAGACAATAACTTGTATAACTGTATATATCTGTATAAAATTTAAGCACAAGGTTGCATTCCACAATAGGAAGGATGGGATTTATTTTGGGGGTTATTGTTGTAGCTATTTAGTAAGTAAGGA